TTAGGACTTGACTCTTCATTAGAGAAATGAAGTAATTGCTGATTAATAAATTCTATAATATTCGTTCACACAGTGGATTATATAAAACAACGCCTAAAGAAATATTGTTTACACAATTTTACTCATCTTGTAATAATTGTGTTTGAAGAACTTCATGTAATTAAAATTTATATACATTCATTGACTGCTTGTATTTTTTTTACTTTTTCGCTGGCGATATAATTTCATTCTTTGAACATCTGTAATATCTGTTTTGCTTAAAAAATATTTTACATTTTAATACCTTCAAAGATTTATAGGAACTACGAATAATGTAGAAATAATTTCTAACCAATTAACTTACGTTTAGTACATGGCCCAAATGTTTAATGTGTTTCATTATTTTCAAGGAACAGGGTAAAATATTCTTCTGATTCAGGCATTTTTCAATAAATCAAGATTTGTACTACGATGTAACTTTAAAATGTTTATTTATCTATCTATGTCGATTACCTTGTTGATACAAGGCATACAACGACAGCCTAATCACAATCGACCCGTATAGAAATAATCTCATCGAGCACAAATGACGAACAGTTCGGACGTTACTGGCTTCCGTTGCATTTGTACGGATTTACACCCTAGTCGCGCCTAAAGAAGTTTTACTTCAAAAATCTATTTTTTCTCTTCTGGTATTTCAAATATCTAAAATACGACACGGGATGTTCAGGCACATTTCCACGCCACACCAGTCCTTCATCGACATCGAATTTTCAATCTCCACCAACAATTCGCACTCTTTAACCGCACTCCGCTATCCTCTCGCTCCGCCGCTCTCGTTTTGACGATACTTTTTCAACTCCTTTTGCGGCGGCGAACTCCCTGTTCGGGTTTTATGGTCTGAGTAGTCGTTTGGCGCTACGTGATGCTCGCTCGCAATGCGCTATGTGCCATGTGTGTGTCGGTGCCATCGGTGTATCGTCGGTGTGTGCGGTGAGAGGTGCCGCTAACCGGCGGCTGTCACTGGCGTTACGGGCGTTACATGATATACCGCGATTTCGTCGACACTCGACTCAGCTCAACTCAACTCAACTCGCCCGACCGGCAGGCCGCGTCGCGTCGAGTCGCGACTTGTTGTTTTGTATTGGGGACAGGGGAGAGGAACATGTTTGTATATTTATTTGTTCGTTTATGATATTTTTGCATGTATATGCAGTAAGGTGAACATATTTTCTTAAGTCAAAGCCGGGACGAAAATTTTTATTTATGGTAATTCGGGAAGAGGAGGAATGGTAGGCTTTTAAAATAACATCAGGCATGGCATCGTGCCTTAAGGCAAATTGCTGGAACTTCCCGTACCAAAAATTATAATTTTAAACAAAAATAACATTTTTGAAAGAAATTTGCTCTGAAAAAATTAGATTTTTGAGAAACTATAAATTTTTGACAAAAATTTACTTTTTTGAAAAAAAAAAGACTCATTGAGGAAAAGTTTATTTTGAAATATTTTCGATTTCTGAAATTCTGAACTTTTTTTCAAAGCAATCGTACTGCTTTAACTGCATAGAGACGAAATATCGAAGCGCGTAAGCGCCGCGTCGCCGTCTAACAGATAAACTTTGGTGCGGAACCCATAGGAATGTTAACAAAATTTATTCTTATTGTTAAAATCTCTATAAAATATCTGATAATTTGATGTGCATATGTCTAATGATCATTTTTGACCGCCAAATGACTTTTTTATTTTTTTTACTGGATCTCCGAAACCGCTAGACCTGCCTTCATGAAAATTTGATCAGTTCTTCATCTTGTTAATACAAGTAAAATGTTTTTTGAATTATTCAAATCGGACGCTCCGTTCTCTTAAAAACTGAGTTACCGTTATTGGCACTTTTTGCCCCATATCTTCGGAATGGCTAGACCTACCTTTCCCCAAAAACTAATCAGCACGTCTCCTTATCAATACGAATCGAATATTTTTTGAAATATTGAAATTGCTTTATCCTTGTTCCCGAAATCGTCAACGAAAATTTGTATCCGAACACACACACATACACGCACACACACACATACATCCATTTTTTCTAAGGTATGCCAAAATGTTCAGAAGGTTTTGAAACGTAAAGATATATAAAAATTTTCATTTTCGACTTTTTTGCTATTACTATAACTTGCCCTACTGGAAGTTAATAAATGCTACTTAACGATACAATAAAAATCCGTTTTTTATATGAATCAATTTCTTTATATATGTTATATATTATATTTTCCGATTTATTGATTTTTTTGCTTTTGAGCCTTGTAGAAAATTTTATTCAATTTTCTTGATAATTAGTTTGAAAAAAAAACTAGCACGTATTTGTTTGTTTTCATAATTTTTGTTAGTATGCCTATTAATTTTTGGGACAATCAAAAGATCTAAATCCGGGACAAATATGGCTTTTCTAAAAGGCCGGGACACAAGCTGAAAATTCGGGACTAAAACAGCACATAAATATAGAAACAAGCTCATCAGTCACCTAAATTCATTAGCGAACTCCTTGGTAACAGAGAACTATCCAAGAAGGTTGAAAAGAAAAGCGCCACTGGATTTAATTCATTAACTCTCCCGATAAAATTGAAATAACTTAGTCATTATTTATAAGTAATTATTTTATAAGTAGATAGTTAAAATTATATAATTATCAATAAAATATTGTGAGTGTAAAGTATTGTGTCCCCCTTGTCAGCAAAAGTAAGCAAAGATCTTACCCCCTGCCCCATGCTTACGTAAACATTTTAGAATTAATGTAAAAAATAAAAATACTACATATGACGTAATCATCATTCAGACTCCCCTGCCCCCCATGTCAACCCAAAATAAGCAAATCAACAACCCCCCCGCCCCCCTATAGTGCTTACGTAATACTTGAACGGCCCCTAATGAGTTGTTTTTCCAACTTCCACAAATTTATTATATGTCCTTAACTGGACAGTTGTAAATAAAAGAGAGAATAAAAAAAATCTGGAAGTCTATGCAACTAGCCCTAAGATGGAAATTTTTCTTTAGCCCTTTTAAAGTAAGCCTCTTGTTGTGCCAATTTGCAGAATATGATAAATTCGGAATAAATAAAAGACTTACGTACACATTACATGAAATATATTTATAAACAATCAGGACAGAATTTTCAAAAAAATAGAAGTGTTTGCTATAATGGTTGAATTGAGACTGATGATGAACTGCTCCTTGCTCCTCTGTGGCGGAAACAGTGTTGCCGCAGGGGTACCGCAGTGTTACCAATCATTAAGTGTTACCACATGTTGTTCTATAATAAGGAATGAATCCGAGAGATGGTATAACACTTTCGAATAAAAGTATATTCATATGTAAAGGTTTCCTACCGGGTGCGATTTCGCTGCGCTT